CCTATCCCCTGTGTGCCTTGCCTCCCACGACTGGAAAGCTTTCTATGTTCCCCCTACAATATAGAAGTTCCATGCTCCCTCTACCATCCAGCCGTCCATTTTTTATCAAGAGTGCCACCCACCGTTTGATCTTATATCCGACTTCTTAAAGTATTTTATTTTATTTTTTTTAATACAAGTTTTCTGAATATGAAATTTGGTACTTGGCATCTTCTCGTTGGGGCGCACCTATAAAAAATATTAACAATAATGTTTTGATCAAACATAATGACAAAAATACCCCTTAAATATTTTAGAGGTATTTTGGTCATTTTATTTTATTGAAAATAATTTTTTTATATTTTTTGTTAGTGCGAGTTTAATAGAGAAATGGACGTCAAAATTTTGATCTTAAAACAGTTTATAGAAAAAAATTTAAAAATAAAACAGTGCAGAGACATGACAACGTGATTGGGGCAATCTTAACCCTCCATTCAAAAATAGACGGTTGGATAAGGGGAATGATAGAACTTCTATATTATAGGGGAACATAGAAAGCTTTCCCTATAAATATGATAAATGATCCTATAGGACCCCCCCTACCTATATGTGTAGGATCCAAAGGATCACCATTAAATTTGGCACGGATCTATAGAAAAGTCAAGTCCCACACTCATATGATAACTTTTCTAGAGATCTGCGCCAACTTTAATAGTGATCCTTTGAGGTCCTATACATATGGGTGTTAGAGGGTCTTATATGATCATTACTCTATATATATATATATATGGGAAATGACCTTGTGAGACCCTCTCATACCCATGTGTATAGGACCTCAAAGGATCACCATTAAATTTGGCACAAATATCTAGAAAAGTCAAGTCACACACCTATGTGATAGTTTTTCTAAATGTTTGTGTCAAATTTAATGGTGATCTTTTAAACTCCTACATACATAGGTGTGGGAGGGTCTCATCGGATCATTACACATAGGTGTAAGTAATAATCCTATGAGACCCTCCCCTACCCATGTATATATATATAGGCTAATGATCCTATGAGACCCTCACACACCCATGCGTGTAGGACCCTAAAGGATCACGGTTAAATTTGGCATTGATTTATAGAAAAGTCAAATC